CTGCTAATGAAGAGCCTGACACATTTCCGAAAGGGCAGCCATCCTTGCGTCTCCGTCGGATGCAGGCAGCAAAACCAGCGAGAAGAGGGCTAGAGTCCCCCCCAAAAGACCAGGACATTTACTGATAGCTTCCACAGGCTTTTATTGGAGTGCCAGCCAGCGCGTCACCCACAGACACAGAGCAATGGAGGTGGCGGAAAGAAGGACCCCCTGTCTCGTCTTCTCCGCATCCCATCCCAAGAGGAGCGACCCTCCCTACCCTGCCGGTCCTCCGGGGAGGAGGAGGGAAGGAAGGGAGCGGCCACGTGACCCTCCCTCACCCACGGCGAGGCGCCTTCCGCCCGGCTTTTCGTGGTCTTGCTCCGCCTTTTCCGCCCAGGGTGCCAAGGAGGAGAACGGGCAGGACGAGCCGGGCGCGCGTTGCTGGGACGGGCGCGTCGGGCGACGGGTCAGAGCGGAGGCGCCACCTGAGAGGGGGGTGGTTCTCCATGGCGACGGCGCGCGTTTGGGGAGGCCCCTTCTCCTTCCCTTCCCCTCGCCCTCCACCGCCGCCTTCGCCTTCTCTTGCCGCCGCCGCCGACGTCGCCTCTGTCCCGCCGGCCGCGGCCCCGCTCTGGGAGACCAGGATGTGAGAGAAAAGGAGAAGGTGCCGCCGCCGCCGCTGGTAACTTCCTGGGCCTGGGGCGTCCTCCTTTTCCGTTACCGTGTCCGGCCCCAAAGAAAGGAAACCAGGACGCGAGCGAGGGAGGGCGGGGCTTTTTTATTTATTTTTTTTTTTAAAGGGGTGCTTCTCGTCGCATCCCCGGCTTCAAGTTTAACACTGGCGTGGCTTTCTAGTCCTCCCTCGCCGCTGCCTTCGCTGGCCCTTGGACCTGAAGGGATGCGCCGGGCGCTGCTGCCTTGAACCTGGAAGGGGGTGGGGGGTGGGAAGGAGGGAAGGAGGGAGTGGTGGAGGTCAAAGTATTAATAAGGCGCTTCTGGAGCCCACCAGCTATTGCCTTAACCCGTTGGTTTTCCAAGGAGGTCACAAAACCTCCTTTCTGCCTCTTGTAACAGGCTGAGATGGCCCTCCTTGGCGCGCTTGTGTGGGAGGAAACCTCCTGTAAGGCCCGTGGGGTTTGCCAGGAGATGTCCTCACCAGGCTGTGTGGTCTTCGTGTTAAATCGTTAGGGATTTAAGCTGCTGGGAATGGGATAAGGCAGGGTGATGAAGAGGCGAAAACGAGAGTGCAGGGAAACTTTAAACACACTTGTCAGCTAGCTTTGAGTTATTCTCTCTCTCCTTGTCCCTTGAGAATATATGCAACATTGTTTAAGGCCACTTAATATGGGGTAGGTACTCTCTGGCATGGTTGTTTTTTTTCCCCTGCCTTGTTTTATGAAGTTTAGAGAACTGAGATTGGTTAGTTGCACACACCCCAAGTGATTCTGGCATCTTTAGCATATATTCTTAGAGGGGAGACCCGTTCATTATTTTTCGTCATTTATCTGTTATGGTGATGTTGTTGTTCCCCACTTCAAGTCTTGCGGTGGGCTCATCAAACAGTGGCTGTTCTCAAGCAGAATGTTCCACCCTCTTCCTAAAGTGTCATGTTGAGGCCTGCTCCTAGTTGTGCCTTGTAAGACCAAAGTCTGTGAGAGTTAAGTTCAGGCACTTCTGTGTTGTGCAAATCAAACTGTGGAGTTTATTGTCAACATAAACCAAGACTAGCCATTTTTTTCAGTGTTCCCTTACTGGCTGATGAAAGCATTGGTGTTTCAAAATGTCTTTGCTGGCATTTAGATTTTTTTTTCAATAGCTCCCTTATTTTGCATGTGGCTTAGATTGCTTATTTTACTATTGCCTTCCATGCTTGCTAATCATTCATGAGGATGTTTTCAGTTGTACACTTCTGCCTCTATTTATGTTGTCTATTTAAGACAACATAAACAGTGTTTGTTGTTATAATTATAGTTTTAAGAACTGATGAGTCAATCTGGTATATGTCTTTTATTTTTTCTCAGTAACACTGCCTAGACTTTAAGTAAGAGTTAATTACTTGATCATCCTTATTGGTGTGAGTAGATAAAAGAGTTAATGCATGTAACAATATTTCCTCTTATATGATTTTACTGTCAAAGTGAGATACTAGAGGTGGCTAGCAGTTAATTGTGTGGGTTCTTATGATCATAGTGGCTTCAGGTTCCCTCTCTGATGATCCTTATACAAATAATGTCATGTGGAATATTAATGAAGGATTTTTTAATAATTGTATAACATGTCCAGACAGACGTTGCTTTGTTAAGATAAAGTCAGGAGTTCCATGCAGTTGAAGTAGAGTGATTTTATGAAAATGCCAAGCTCACACTATTCATTGAAATAATGGAAATTTAAAGACTAATATGTTTAACCATTTCTATATGTCTTTATTTGCTCAGTACTTATGACTTGATCTAGGTTTAGAACTAGTCTGTCAGCTTAGAGCTTACACTGCCAGATGTATATAAAAGACTCACAGTGTTTGCTGTAAAGCTGCTTGATTACCATGGAGTACCTTTAGCTTTTGGACTGTCTCCTTCTATAATTTGTTTCAAGTGGAGCAAAGTGTTATTCCTAGGGTTTCAGAAGGAATTTCAGGGCAACAGGGATACAGATGACTCTATTTAAATTGTTTTTCCTCTTCTTACTGCAGATGACAGAACAGCTAGAGAGTTATCACAGGAATTCCTGAGTTATGAACTTAAAAAACACATCTTAATCATAATATCATAAGTACTGCAGAAAAACATACAATTTTATATTCTTTCCTAAGTAGGTAATATTAGCAGTAAATAAACTTTTACAGCAAGGACAGGCAACTGTACATCTGCAGATCTTTTCTGCAGGGCTTCACCTCTTATCAGCCCCAACTAACATAGCCAGTGGTGCGATCTCCTGGTGTAGAGGAAGTTATATTGAGAATCATGTGGTGAATAATGCAGTGTACTATACAGTGACTGAAAATAGTGCCCCTTCTTTTGTCTCTCACAAAATCTGTGTGGATATAGTCGTAAGGTCTCTCATAAGGTTAATTACAGAAGTTAAAATTAGTTCAGTTAAGTAGGTTCCACTGAAGTATGGCTGAAAGGAAGTAGAAGCAATTTTGAAGAATCAGCATCTTGGAGAGCTAGTACAAGAGTTCGAATGGGAAATACCAATTCTTAGAAAGGGTGAAAGCCTCCTTAGAAAGCCTCTACTAGGGCCTGTGGATCACTGTTAAGTTTTATTTGGAGAGAAATTAGGTAAAGCATGGTTACTCAGTGTGTTGTAGTGGACAGAGTAACTGACCAGGACCTCAGAATACCTAGGTTTGAATCCCTGCTTGGCCATGAAAACTTGCAGTCCTCACTGGAAATTATAAGACTACTCCTTAAAATATCTCACTTACCTTGAAAGCCCGATTGAGGCTGCTGTGAGTGAGTTTTGACTTGATGGCACATATAATGGTATAAGGTGAAAAACACATGATGCTTGTAAAGGACACTGTTTTAACTGAGGTTAAAATGCTAAGATTCTGTCTTTTATGATGTATGTTTAGTAAGAACATTTAGGAGTCTAGTATTCTGAACATTATCTTCATAGGGAATTTGTACAGAAATTCTGGCTACTATTTCTCGTTCTGGGACCACTTTAACCAGATCATCATGAATGATACAGTAGTTCACAGCTAATGAGAGAAAATTCAACAGACCAAGATAATGTTGGAAACCTGGTTTGAAAAAAAAATTAATTGCTAGTTTTGCTTGAAAACTGTGATGTACCTAGATGTTCTTTTTAAAGACTAGTGAAGATCAATTATATTTCCATCTCTTGATATTATCTGTTTGAAAGCAAACATCTGATTTAACAGAAAACAGTGTTAATGTTGGCTGCTAGAAATTTAATGTGTTGTTTGTATTGCTTGTATTGATTCATTCACAAATCATTGTAGATCTTTATGCTCGCAAACATTCTTGTAGGCGTAATGTTCCATTTACATGTAATGTTGAGATTATCAGTTAACAAAGGTTGCTTTTTTATTTTTTCATTATTTTATATCAAAGCTGTTAAGAACTGCTGAATAGCTCAATATTTTAGGTGTCTGGCTGTGGGGCCAGAGGTTGGAAGTTCAATTTGCCACTGTGCCTCCTTAGCAGGGGCCTGACTTGACGATTCATAGGAGGGTCCTTTCTAGCTCTGCAGCTCTAAGATCTGTGCCTCCTTAGCAGGAGCCTGACTTGACGATTCATAGGAGGGTCCCTTCTAGCTCTGCAGCTCTTAGATTATATGATTAAGATTAAATACATGGAAATGCCGGCATGAAATTATTCACAGTATGATTAAGATTAAATACATAAAATGGAAATGCCGGCATGAAATTATTCACAGTTAAGCTTCTCTATGGACAGCATTCAGGCAACTCATACTAGGAGAGCTTTCTGTACCAGATGAGGCTTGCAGCCAGGGTACACAGTCGAACTTCAGGAGCCAGAGAGAGAGAGTAAGGGATCTCATAAGACCTTTCCTTCAGTACCTTTGTAACGACCTCTCTTGCTCAGCCACTCATCACTTTAGTATCCTGTTTAGAGAGAAACAATACCTAAAACATTTGATGGTTTTTTTCAGCCCAGAGAATAAGCTGGCAACTCTTGCTTGTCTTCTCAATCCTTTAAACCAGGGCATAGCTTGCGGGGTGTACTATGAAAGAGGCATAGGCATAGAGGCCCCAGGTCTTTGTTATGAATCCAGCCACAGCTCATGCAAGGCAGGACACAGCTTCATGCAGAGCTCCATTTTAACCAAAAGGTGACTGATGCAATTTGTAATTTTGATTTCATGTAGAATCAGTTGAGCTCCTTGATAATTTGAATGCTTAGTGAGGTATGAATTTGTAATTACTTTAGAGATAAGTACTACAGAATATGATATGCTATTGGGAAAGCATAATTAAATTGAATATTCATGTGAGGACAAATCTGTAGTTTGCAAATAATGTCTGGCTCTACACTTTTGTTCTATTATGAAAAAAATGAATTCTCTAAGTAAATATTATCTGAGTGCACGTGTAATTGAAAATATGAATGCATTGTGGTTTAACTGATAAGTAAGCATCTGTCCCTCAGTTTATCTTCAAAAACTAAGACCTTCAAATGAAGAATTCTAGCAAATGCATTGCTAGCAATAGCAGGGCCTTTAGCTACTCAACTTGCAGGAATATTCACATGGAAAGAAGCATCAATCTACTGTCAGCTGCTTGTTTTTATGCAGATCATGTTAATTAGCATAAATAAATTAGCTGCTGCCTTCTATTTTGCAATTTGTATCTGAGAAAATTGCACTTCATATCGAACAAGTACTAAAAGGTTGAAGCCTGCAGCACTATAATATTTTTTGAACCTTAACAGATCTTAGCGAAACATGTTTCTGGCAAATAATTTCTTTAGGTTAGTCATAGAGTTCGGAATTGCTGTAGATATACAATGGAATGGGCAACATACAGGTTACATGTTGCTATTTTTAACTTTTAGTTACTGTATATGCTGAATTTGCTCTGGTGGTAAAAAGTGGAACTTTAATAAAACTGGTGCTCTAACTGGATATTATTGCAACCCTCAGTTACTCCCATGTAATTTAGTAGCAGGGTAGTGAAACAGAATACTTTTTCCT